CCCCCCAAAAAAATTGGTACATCTTTGCAGTTGTTTTTATGCTTTTGGTTACATTTATTTATATACCTCATATAGTACCTCATATTACATCATAGTACCACACGGCCGTGATGTGTTTTGGCCGTCAGTCAGCGGGCCCCCCACGGGCCAGGACATTTTCTTACGAGAGATGCTCTTGGGTCTCGCTCATTGGATCAGCCACTTGGCCAAGCGAGCGAGCCCAGCCCTTCGGCGCGTCGCGCGCGTCGCGCGCGTCGCACCGGTTCGCCCACCTGTGTCAGATCGATTCGGTTCGTGTTCAGAGACTGCACCTGTATATACTACGACTTTATTGTGACCTTATTAAAACCATGTAAAAGCTATTAAAACAGGTAAACCTTATATATCATCCATTGTAAATAGGTACAAATAGAGGGTCCAGGCACTTCCCCCAACACCACCCTGATCCTAAGAGCACAGGGTGGCTATTGGCAATTCTTTGGTTTACACCCTCAAGGACCAATATAGTAAGCAGTCCTGCGCACTTTGCTCTCGCCGTATCATGGTGATCTCCTATGCCTTCATGTGTAAGAATCACATCACTATCTCATAGTGATCCATGCGTGGGAATCACACCTATAGTGATCCCTAGGGTAGATAGAAAAGGAAAACACACAACTAAACATGTCGTGGAAAAACTACCGATTCTATCATGTTCTATGTACTTTGGGACCAAAACATAGCCCTTCTGGGGCGCGATGGCGTTACGTTCGACCTTGTGCTCACCACCTCTGGTTCGACCGACCGGCACGTCGTGCGCGGTCGTACCTGGCATACTCTCGGCATACTGAAGAGTAGAGGACATGAGCCATGAACCAAGATCAATCAAGGAACTACCTGTTTTAAGAGTAGCTCATGTCCTGTTTCATGTGCTGTGGGTACTTTCGAAGTCGGATCCAGGTCTCGCGTGTTCCGATGAGACAAAGTGATCGATGTTTCAATGATCTCAAAGGATTTGAGTTCCATCCGAGTAGCTTTGGACAAAATGGCGGGACACATCACCTTCCAACAGCGTGGAATCTTCGCATCACCTTCCGAGTTTCGGACGTTTCTGGCGTTCTGTGCTGTATTCTTCAGATGCCGATCTTTTTGACTCTCTCGATGTCGGGCGCTTTTTGTATCGGAACCAGTCTCAGAGGTCCGGCGGAAAACCGCCGAGCAGGTGCTCGAGCCACGGAACTGCGTGTCTCGCACGCGCCGTCGCCCAGGTGCTGCCATACAGCAGTTGGACATGCATGTGCCGTCGCCCGGTGAAGCATGGTGGTCAAACCGGTCGGATTGAAAGGGGCGAAGTGGCGATTCGCTTGCGATTCCGTGGCGTCGGATGAAGCGGAAGCACCAATGGAGACAGAAGCACGAATGGAAAAGGAAGATCCTGCTCGGAACATGGGAGGTCCTGTTGAATGAGTATCACCAGAATACAGCAACTGATTTTACAGATATAACATCAGATTCATTCGAGAGCTTCTATAAAGGGACATTGTTTCAGGTTGATGATCCTTTGGGGGGAACCCTTTTTCGGAAGCCGGGAGCGGTGTGGATCGGGAACGGAACAGCCTGCAGTTGTGGCAGAGAACCGTCCGGCAGCAACGAGGTTTGATGTAATGGTTTTATCACGGAGTGCCTGAAGAGAGCGGGTTCGGGAGTCCTTGCTCAGTTTACACCTGGAAATTCCGTTGACACATGACACACCCTCCAGGCCAGAATCTCTCCTGGCAGTGGTTGGTGGGAGGTGCTTCCGACCCCAAGTCTTTTTCGGAGCAGACTCGCATGGCCGAGCCGCCCTAATGGCGATGGCCCTCCCTCCTAAGAGCGATGGCTCCGGATGGCTCCATGCCGCTTCCCACCATCGTTTGTGGCATCAAAGGTTGCAATCGTCTGTGCAGCAAACTTCCAAGCTGGAGATGTATCTCAGAGAGGTTGAGGACCTGGCGGCGAGTACACGCAAGAGGGGCGACAAAAAGCAGAAATCGACGCTCTTGATCTCCCCGAGATATAAAAACTGAAGTACTACCCTGCTGAAAACTAACATGGACCTTGAAAACCACTGCTTGTAGAGTGTAGAGGAAAACCGTTTTTTCAGGGTGCCATTCTCAGGGTTGATGTTAGTTTTCAGGAGTGAGTGTAATCAGAGAGGAAGAAGTCAAAATGGAATTTGAGAAAGCTGCACTTTGTGCTACTCAGTAGGTCGAAGGTGGATCAGCATCAGCTACCCAGCAAAATTCGGATGTCCGACTGGATGTCCTCAGTTCGAGCTTTCTCTGGTTTGGTACCGAAAAACAATGACAAACACCTCCAAGAATGCCTCCGAAAAACGAGGTGACCTGGACCGGACCGTCGGCCAAGAAATTCACAGCGGAACGAAGAACTTCACTCGAAACCAAGAGAGGTTCTTTCACAGCCCAAAAAGAATCGCCCATCCCAAAGAAAACCACAGACCAGGTTCCGAACGTTCTGGTCTCAAGCCTCTCGAACGAACGTCTTCAGGGCTTGAGCGCGACCGCGACCGACTCTTAGGAGGGCGCAGACAGCAGTCACAGCCGGACTGGCCGGCCTTTGGGCATATAGCTCGAACAAAGACCAGCACCCTCACTGCCAGTTCAAGTCCATCTTTTTCCTAGGTTCCAAATGCTCCCAAAGGCTTCCAAATGCTTCCAAATGCTTCCAATGTTCAGTGTAGAACTGGTGAAAAGTTCAGTCCAGTCGCAGTCTTCCAGGAGAAGTCCTTTGAACATGCGTGCAAAGAGTTCAGTGCAACTCGGTGGCCATGTGCGGCGCCGGAGGCCATGCGGTCACATGCCGTCTCAGTTAGTTGGGAGCTTCTTCGCTAAAAGTCAACCACTATGGCAGTTACTTTGGCGTCATGGGAACATGATGATGTAACTAATATATCCTTAGGGCTCCAAGTACCTCAGAAGGTATTCCGGTCGCTTCGCGACAACCACCGCTCGCTTTGAGAGATGGCGGGTGAAAGAAGCATCTATAATCACGCTATTTTTGGATCCTTTGGCCTTTGACGCATTGCTTGGTACTTGTTTAGTTATTTGCAGGCATCATAGACTGTTGAAAGAGATCATGTGTTTCCCTTTCATGAACCTAATGATGCACATGATACGATGATATAAATACAGTCAGACATACTGATATAATCTGATATATGAAAACACATGCGTTGTTTTCAATGTTTTCTCCCACCACTCCTCTCCCAGACACATCTCATGATGCAGAATATGCATGCCCCCCCCCTGTGTAGCAAGGCTTTATAGCGATAACACACTACTTACAGTTTGACCCCTCAGCAACTTCAGTGCGGGCTGATTTGGGTTTTGTGGCACCCACCCCAAACACCTTCTCAGAAGGGTTCCCGGATTTGTGTTTGTTCGATTGGTGCAAGCACAGCCATGGAAGAGGCTGAAGAACACGAGTCAACAATCTCCAAATGGTTCATCGTACTAGATTGATGGGCTTGAAAGACAAGTAAAATACAGGTTGTAGTCAAAAACTTGCTAGCGACCTAACGACCCTCAAATCAATGGTGTCAATGGTGGTTGGCATCAGATACGCTCAACAATTTCAGCATTCTTCAAGCATGGCGTGACGGGCACGTCGCCCCGTTTGCCCTCTCCAGCGTGTTGGGTTGGACGCACCTGCTGGAGTCATCTATGTGTTGACATGGGTTTGTTTGTTAGGTATCCAAGCTGTTGACAACAAGTGGTTGTGGTTGTGTTACTCAATGATGGGACCGACTGCGTCAGCCGGAAACTGTAAGGATGAGACCAGTTTGGTCCATTGGACCATCCCAAGATGAACGTGACAATTTTGCGGGGTGAAATCAGATGTTTCCCCTACCAGATCTCTCCAAAAATCGATCAGACTTCCCTTCGGACTGTCTACCTGGGTCATCCAATGGGTGTCCAATAGACTACCCTGCACTGCTAAACTGGACCCAGCCAGGACGCCCAGATGGTCGGTAGCGTATAGCATTCTCTTCGCTGAATCCTCAGGATTTCCTCTACCACGTAATTTTGCAGCTCTTAGGGCCTGAGCTCACCTGCGTGGCCAGCCGCTTGGAAGTGCCGAACACGGGGAACACCATGTCACACCATGTCACACCGAAACACGGGATTTTGTTGGCACCCCCTTGAGGCGTTTTTGTGACACTGAAAACGTTTTGGAGGAGTTGCTTTTTTTTCAGACTCTAGCATGAACAAAGAGGTGGGAAACTGAAGGGGTATGGGATTGAACTATAGTACCCAAATAGATTATAGTTGAGCAACTGCGAAGCTGAATTTGGGTGCTTGGGCAGCTGCTACAGATTTCTCGCCTCAAGGAGGAGAATTGAATTTTTGATTCCATGTGGTCGCTTCAGGTTCCAGGTGGCTTAACCCACCTCCAATTACACCGAACTTTGGGGGGCCTAAAAGTGGGACATCCCACTGGTTCCATGAGAGAGGGAGAGAGAGAGATGTTATAGGGAAACCAAGGGAGTCATTTTATGATGTGGGTGGAGTCTCCCTGAACGGCATGTTTCGGTTCAAAAGGGTGTGATTTGAGCTGGGTTTTCCAAGCATCGGCTGTATCATTTGGTTCTTGGGGAAGGTTCAGGGAGATCAAACAAGACCGCAGCGTCCGGTCCGCGCGTCATCTGAGGTAGTTTATCAGGCACGCTGGCCGATGGCTTCACCAGTGACTTCGTCGGATGGCTTCACCCATCCACACCGATGGGCGGTGATGGTCTTTGGCTTCCAAAGATACCAAAGATTTAAAGATCTCTGGTAGTTTCATGCACCAAAGATCTCTACCACTCTAGCACTCTAGAAAAACTCTCACTGCATGGGTGTTTTTTAACCGATGTCGGAGGGTCCAACGAGGTATGTCGGGCGCCGACGAAAGCCGGCGCGGTCGAGCGCTAGCCGGCCGCGCCTCGTCGCCCTTCGTCGCGACCGGGTTCGCTGTTTGGGTTCGCTCCAAGGCGACCTGAGCGGGAAGGGAACCCAACAGCCTTGGAGTAGTAAAACCATTAAGGAGCACCATTCCGAACGGAGAAGTTGGGGAGGAGTTGGAGTTACCCCAAGGAGAGTCAGTCGAACGTGTTCGCCGGACCCAGGAAGCAACTCTCTATCGAATCGAATCATCGTGAAAGAAAGCAACTCCAAAAAGCAACAAGCAGCAAATCATAAACAAAAAACAACAACAACAACAACAACAAACACACAACAAACACACAATAAAAGCAAACACACCCACAAAAAGACACATGCAAATGAAAAAGCACAATGGTGTCGTCCTAACTTTTCACTTATGTTTGCATGCTTGTTTGTCTTGCGCCCCTTTTGTTAGCCTTTATGTTTGCATATGTTTGCTTGTTTTGTGTTTTTTCATGTTGTTTGTTTTATTTTCGTTTTTTTTGTTTGCCTTTTGTTGTTTCGATGTTGTTTCGTTTTTTATGCGTGTTATCGTTATTCTTGTTTGTCTTTTTGGCTTTTCGTTTTGGCGCCTTTCGGGGGCGCTGCTTCCATGCTTCTATGTTTTTTGTTGTTCGCTTTTGCTTTTTCATTTGCTTTTTTTGTGCTTTTTGGTTTGCTTTTTGCATTTTGTAGGTTATTTTTTGTGTGTTTTTATTCATTTGGCAAAGCCATCCGAGTTATGCTAAGTTGTTAACATAAGGATAGTCAAAGGCTCGTCCGGGCCTTCGCACTCCAACGTCCGGGCACCTGCTTGCTCGTCTCGTCTCGCCGCCGGTGAAAGAAGAAGCCGCCGAGGCGACCGTAGTGTGGCAGCCTTAGCAGCTTGGCCGAGCTTGCTTTTGGCGCAGCTCGTGAACCTCTTAGCTTCTTGGAGTGACAAACTTGAGATGTTTTGAGATGGTTTGACTCACCAAGAAAGACTTGAACCACAGCCATGAGGATTTTGTGTTGAACCATGTTGAACCCGAGATAGGAATAAGATTGTGTTTGGAAGGCCTTTTGCCCTGGCGCTCCAAGCAAAGCACGGGGACTTGACACATTTGTCAGCACCATCAAGCACCATCAGACTTTAAATTCATCATGTTCCACAATTATTCTGATATTGTAGGTATATTATATATATATATGTGCTTTGCAGGGTGAACTCTTTCATCAATGGTCAGTTATATAGTTCAATGCGCACCGAACAGTTCGAGCAGCCCTACGTCATCGCTCTGACCGGATCACCGTCGCAGTGGGGTCAAGGGCTCGTTTGTCCCTGTTTGGACCAGCCTGTGGATGCGAGGGGCCTAGGGACATGTGTGACCATCCCAAGAAGGATGACTGAAGGATGACCGATGCTGAGGAAGACATGCGGGCAAAAGTTTTACGCATTGCATTGGAACTGGCTCCCTATGATGCTTGGCGGCTTTGCCATCATGCCTTGGAACGGGCCCCTGCTTCGCAGACTCGCAATTGATGCAAATGATCGTTGGGGGTTGCTCCTTGGGTATGAACCACATATGGACCTCAGTATGGACCTCATGTGCTGGCAGGAAATCTCCAAGAGCCTGGAGTACCAAAAATCTGTGTGGTTCAAAGTTGATGAGAAGTGGTCCAGCTAGAGGAGATGTGAACAAAATGTTGGGGAATATTGGGTGCGGATCCTTGGTCAAGGTAGTCAGCTGAACAACCACTGCAATGCTCCTAATTATCACGCGTTGGATTGGCCGTGAGGGCCTCATGGACGCTGCCAGACGCGGGTGGAACACGCTGCCATGGGAGAAAACATCGACCTGGAAATGAATGAACTCGACCTCCAGACAGACGACACCAAAGGAACCAGCCTGTATATATATATATATATAGACACTCCATGTATGGAATAGTTACAAACCTTTACCATCACTCACCCCGTGGTCTCATGACCCCCGTACATGTATGTCACAGCCTTCCTGTCCCATGGATGGTCTGGACTACGGAACAGTGCGAGACTCCAGACTGGAAGCTTCAGTTCTCATACTCAGATCCAATGGAGATTGCAGATCGGATGCGGATGCGAAACCCGGTCTCTTTTTGCTGTTTGCTGTTGAATCCAAGTGTTGGCCCCTCCCCAAGAGCCATCATAGCTTCAAAAACCTTGTGCCTTTCATCAATGGCTGCCATATGCTGCCATAGTGCCTGGGCATATGTGGTGCACCCCCGTCTAGGACCACACCCCCTGTCTCTCCACCGGTCTCAGCGGATAGCGTCTCACTCGATGCATTGTTTCAGGAACGCTACGAGCCGCAGAATGCCGTTTCCATGAAGAGCAGCGCCTTGCTTGGAGCGTGGGAGATGCTGAACGACGCTGAAGGATCCTCAAGGAATGTACTTGTAGATATGCCTTGAGAATCAAACACCAACATTAATGTAGGTTCAGAAAAAGGACCTCGGCTTTTCTGGGTCAGGTCAAAACCTCGGCTCTTCAGTGAAATCCTCGGGTTTTCCAAGAAAAGGGCCTTGAATTGTCTTGTCCTGATTTTGTTTTGTCCTCATGCCAAAACTTTGTGTCTTTGAGGTGCCCATGATGATATTGGGACACCATTTAAGATGAACAAATATAACAAATGCATTTTTGAGGCAGTGGACAGCAAACCCGTAGAAAACCCATGGCAAGTCATGGTGAACGCGTGGATACCCGTAAAAGCCAGGGTTCTCAGAATGTGCTATGTCAATCAAAGGCAAACGGAAGGGTAGTGCACAGAAAGGGTTTTGCAAAAACCTATTCTACTAACGTCGTGGAAGGCGCGTGACCTTCGTAGAACCCAAGGCTGTTCGTGGACAGATCGTGGAATGGTGGGCCAGTAGGAGAACTGACTGCAACGAAATCCCAGAAACCTTCGCAGAACTTCGTGGAAGGTATTTTTGATGCACTAACTTCGTACAAGCGATTTTTGCTGACCCCCTTTCTCCACACACCCTCCGTTTAGCCTTCAGTCAACAACATCTGACAATCAATACCCTGGGTTTTCTCGGAAAACCACATCTTTTCATATGGGACTTACGTTTTGATAGGTGTTTGTTTCTTCAGATATACCTAGAACCCAGACATGACCTCTGTTTTGATAGGAAAAGACATGAAGGACCATGTTTTGGCTCCAAAACAGGGGTCATGTCTGGGTTCTAGGTATACATAGAAAACATGAAGTCCAACGATATCAAGTGTGAGCACTGAAAGATGGGTGGACACTGCACCTGAACGCTGATGTGAGCTGGCGAGCCATCGAACTGTAGCTGTGCCTATATATACATATATATGAGAAATGGAAACTGGCGGATGACTCTGGATGAAGCATGAAGGAAGATCATCAAACATTTGTCCGATCATCCTTGCGCCGGCCAACAAAAAGGGTATGTCCGATCTACTACCAGTCGACATCAGTCGCTCAAAGAGGATCACGATCATCCGGAAAGGCCTGGAGAGGTTGCTACGATCATCCCGGGGATCTGCACAAACCCATGGGAGATGTGTCATTCATCGGCCCCAGTTTGGCCTCCAGAACTGAATGCCAAGCCTCCGGCATGGCCGATGGAGCTACCCTACTCGCGATGGCCTTTAAGCACCCAGTGCCTATAGAGCTCCAGTCGTACCTTCGGTGGGACTGGGGTGGGTTCAGAGGGTCCAGATACCTTCTGAGGAGGTACTTGGAGCTGTAGGGAGTGCTAGAACTTGAGCCCGTGGTCCATTTCGCGCTCGTGTTCGGCCTCGTTTTCGTGCATTTCGCCGAGGCCTCGTGGTGCAGTTCTGTAGATACTTCACTCTGCAGCATTCGCGCGAGGAGTATCGTCTCAAAGAGCTCTTGGGCTGGTGATGAAGGGCAGGGCATGGGACGTGGAGGGATGGGTGGTGGAAGGTGGTCTTGCCCACACGCGGCCAATGGGACTGCCATATATGCCGATCAGTTGGGGTGGTGCCAGAGGGGTCAACTGATCGGCATATATGGCAGTCCCATTGGCCGCGTCTGTGTTGTTTCTTTTTCAGCGTCATGTCTTGTGGTCCCTCGTGGGTTAAGCCGATACGACCAGGTTGGTCTCAAGGTTTGCTTGCCAGGAAGAAACGGTGCCGGGAGGAAAGGCGGTGCTGGCCTGCCAGTTTGTAAGGACAATGGAATATCGATGTCTGGTCATATTGGTTTTCTAGTACCCTGCCATTAGCTGAAGACTTAAAAATATGCGTGTCCAGCACCTTGTGTGGGAAGGAACACTTTGGTGCTAGTAGTTCCTGCGTGACACGTGTCTGACAGGATGAGGACGATTCCTGCTTTGGATGCCCAGCGTCACAGAAAGGCTGTCTCAGCGAAAACGATCGAACATGGCCCAAGCCTCATTGACTCGTCCCAGTCGATTCTTGGACCCCCAACCCATCCCGCTGAGGTCGACAGATGAACTGGCAGATTACTACCTGCCCCGGCCTGCCCCTGACAAGTGGATCACCTTGAACCCCTAAAAAAGGGGGGATGGGTGTCCCGTGGTTTCCCTACTTCAATTTTGAACAGGTGGATGAAGGTTACTGCTTTGCAGCAATGTTCCAACAAAAACGCTTCGGGAGTCAGTCACTTAAGGCATGAGATCATGGACGACGACTTTCACGAGTCCAACTTCGGCATTGTCTTAATTGCCTCTCGGCCGCAGGCATGCACGTGGGGCGTCCACAGTCCCAGACAATTCATATATATATATATATTGTGTGTTTTTTGTGCACCTGAACCATCCTCAAGCCACCCAAAAGCAATGCAGGATTGTTGGCCAATTGATGCACTCGAATTAAAACATGTTTACTTTTGACATCTGACAGAAAGCACAGCTGAGCTATTGGTGGCTACAATTAGATTGGTCCACTACGTGCTGTTCCTTGTGGGTGTTTAGTGTGGCTCCCTGTCAGCAACTGACAGTGCCACTCCAAGCATCTATGACCTTTGCATCCTTTCCTTGGAACAACATGCAGGCAAATGGAAACACTGATCGATTTCTGTGTATAACTCCCAAACAAGTTCTACTTGCGAGCTGTGTGCAAGCATTTATATAGCTCTATAGCCGATGTGTGCACGCAAGGTGACGAGACCTTTTCTCATGCAGCCATGTATGGGTGTACATCTACTTTCCAAGTAGGGCCCTCTATTTCTACAATTAGATATCTATAATCATATATATATATACTATATATTATATAGACCTCCATATTTGGGTACCATGTGAGACTGTCATGTATCATGTATCCCTGGGCATTTGAAGAGATTCTGAGGATACCTATGGAAGCTTGTTGAAGATGCTTCAGCACGTGGAGCACTTGCAGCTGGGCTGGCAGAGCTGGAGTTGATCTAATGTACAAACCTTGGGCAGAGTCGATGTTTTTGGGGAGGGGAACTACCTCATAGCCGCATAGTGTGAAACACTAGGTTCCTTCCATCATAAGCCAAGGTTTTACTGTAGCAATCTGTAGTCATGTAGTCAACACGCGTTTTTGTTCATGGATGTTCATGCTTTCGAGTGCTCTAGTAGTATCACCACCCCAAGAATTCAAGCCACTTCGGCGGAATTGGAACGTGGAATGTGCACAACCGAGCCGCACCAGCTTTGCTTTATTCGCCCGGACTGCGGCGGATGCCGGCTTGAACATGGCAGGATCAACCCTTCATGGCCCTGCAAAGTGAGAATCCCTTCTATCCTTATTGGATGAGACTGGATCCAGAAGAATTGGACACGCAATCTATCAGTAGAAAAACGGGGGGACAGAAACACGCACAACAAAAAACAACACGCGACCTACGTCACTGCGGTGCAGGTGACTACCAGACCGAGCATAGACCTGTCCCGTCCGCCGAAAGCCCCGTAGCACGCCATAGCTGCTGGTGGGGCGGATGCACCAAACCAAACTCCCAAAAAGGCACTTTGGAACCTGAGTCTGACCTCTATTTTGGACCACCAACCACCCAACATACGGTCTTTTCCTCTTAAAGCAGAGGTCATGTCTGTGGAACTCAGGTCATATAGCCAATGTGTTGGTGTAAGTGTTCTCGTCCCATCCAGCTCCATCCATCCAACCCCCCCCAGGTACTTCAGCAGCGAGCAGCTCATCGTGGCCGTGGACTTCGAAGGTGTCGAGCTGAATCGGAATGGCGCTTTGTGCCTGGCCACTTGGTACCGCACCACGGTACTACGGAACCACGTAGACAGTTCTACATCTGGCTACGTGTGCTACGTGTAGCCTACAGGGACTGACCGCACGAGACCCGGTACACTGGAGAGACGGAGCAGAGAGAACGGCCGCAAGAAACTCACGGCGTGATGCCCGGAACTCACGGCGTGGTGCCGGTGTTTTTGGTCGGTCTCCGTTCGGGGGGAGGTGTGAGGGTCTTTGGAGGCGAAGCAAGAGGTTCTTGTGGCGGACATCACCCTTTTGGGGGGGGCTGAAGGGGTGTTTTTCGGGGCACGGTAGGTTTGTATGACAGGTGATGTGCTTCAGGCAGTGTGGGTTGACTGAGTTTGTAGAAATGCAGAGAAAGAGAGGAAGGTGAAGGCTAAGAAAAGCATGGAACAAATGGTGGGGTTAGGCTGGCTAAGGCGGCTAAGGGTCGCACAATCAGGATTTGCCGGCGGGGGACATTGATGGCAGGATTTCAGATGCGTTGTTTTCCAGGTTGGATGAACAAACTGGTGTGATTTACCAACTTCAAACTGGTTTGAAGCCACCAAAAAAAAGGTTTTCTATGTGGAAAACATAATATTACAGTATGATCTTCTACCAGGACCATCCAAGTGGTGTCCTGGCTGGACTACCCCACACTACTTATAGGCTTCCAGACAGGGCACCCCTTGGATGGTCCTGGTGTAATACCACAAACCACTATACCACCTACGACATCCCAGCCGGTCCTGCTCCGAGGTACAGATGACTTGCCACGACAACCCCTCCTTGGTCTATGTGCCTTCGAGCCGAACGCGCCGAAGTCGGTGTGGCCAGCTGGTCTTTTCTGTTAAAAGAAGATCTGTTGTACAGGTGTTTGTGTTGTTTGTTTTTTTCCCCCGTGTTCCTATTTCTCATGATGTCCATGTTTCTCAGACACCGTATCGAATGAGGCGTTGCACATCTCCGTCCGTCATAGTTTGGGCATGGTGTCCCGGGAGTCTCTTCGATTGAAGTAGGCACAGAGACACACCAAAAAGGGCAGCATATACTCCCACTGCAACAATCAAAGTGGATGGCATGGCCCCCTTGGAAGACGATATACATATATATATAGATCGATATAAAGGAGGTGGTGAACTCCACTTCCATGATTGTTGGTGGGATTGTTTTTATTCCTGCACCCTGAAGTGACCCCTGTTTTGGAGCCAAGACATGTTTTTTCCTTATCAAAACCCAGGTCATGTTTGGGTTCTAGATGGTTCTAGTATATCTAGCTTGTTATGACTTGTTGGTTTCTATACTGCAGCATGGCCAAGGTATGTTTGGTGGAATCCTCCATCACCTAGAGAGATCATTTCTGGATTTTTATGGCGCGAAGAGAAGAGTGTGCAACTGAAGAATTCTACCACTGCACGGAGAGGTCTTCTCTACCATTTTCCTGAAAACCAGGAGAAAGGACCATGATTGGTTACCACCTGTGACCCAAAGGAGTGGATAATCGACGGTACTGCATCGTCCCTTCACTCTGGTCCACTCTTTTAAAGATCCCAGTCCGAGGTGGACGAGCCAGTCCGAGAAAAGAATCGCCAACCTGAAGACCTGAAACAAAAAAAACTAACCAGTGAATCTGGAACCTGCAGAAGCTCACCAACTCAGAAGCTTCCCATCTTCTATGGGGGCTCTCGCCGCACCTTTTTCTGAAACCAGAGTGGTTTCAGCCTTCTGGCCAGGGAGACCTGAAATCCGGCAAAAGATATTTCTAGGGTTGCCAGTCCTCAAGAGAGTCTTTTTCATGAACGTACCACAGATTTGAAATACATGTGGTGAATCAATAGAATATTCATGCCCCTTCCCCAAGAACTCTGAAAAGCTTTGCACTTGCTTTCGGATTGGCGACACAGACCTATGTTGTGATTTTTCTCAAGGGTTCGATCAAGCGAAATACCGATATAAATAGAACTCTCTCAAGGTTCTCCAGGATCTTTAGGGTAACCCACACACTCCATGACACAGGAACAACAATAACATAATGTATAAACACTATATATATATATATATGTGTAATGTAAGAATTACATATGTACAGTACTGAATATCCCATTGACCCCTCCAACTCCGAAAAAGATCGGTCTGAGACATTGTTCCCTTTCAGACGCGGTTCGAAGCGACGTGAGGTCTTGGACATCCACGTTTTGAAGTGTCGCTCGGTTTGGCTCGTCGAGCGGCGGAGGAATGAGCGATCTCCAAACGTGTTCTTGGCCGCCATTCTGAGAGGACTCAGAATGAAAACTCTTCTTCGCCGCCAAATTTATAGGAGTATAAAGGTGCCTTTCTTGAACGGAGTTCAATGAGAAAAAGGGGAGACATGATGAGAAAAAGGGTCGTGCGCCAGAAGAAGGGATGAAGATGGAGGAAGGTGTTTTGTTCGAGCAGAGACACGTCCGTCACTGAGGCTCCAGATGTTCGTTGAACCAAAAGACCACCCGCTCTTTTTGCGTTCGAAAGGAGAGGTTCTTGTTGTTCCAAAATGAACCGAAAAGGAAGTATATACGATTGAGAGTTGTTTTTTTGTATTTTTCTGAAACGGTGTTATTGTTTTTCTCACCAAAGAACTTCCCGTGAATCTGGCAGTTGTTGACCAGCTGCAAAGATGCCTGAATCGATGAGTGCCCAATCTACCTGTCTTCCAGAACCAGAAGGAGTAACTCTTCACTTTACAAGAATATGCTCCCAACGAAGGTGGGTGTCTCCAAAACCTTCGACACCACGATTGGGTCAATCATTCTCCACGGGTGGTGGTTTGGCTGAAAAGAAAGGCACCAACAGATCAAGTACATCCGGTATTTCAGACCAGCCTGATGGCATGCAGACTGGAAGACGATTGGTCCTCTACCAACGGGGCGTGGTGTTTGCAGGTTCCATGTGGGTCTCGGTGGCCCAGGGAGGTACCACTGCCCCCATCGGCCCTTTCGGGCCTTTCGGGTGGAGTACCACCTGCCACCGGCCCCATGTGAAACGGTCGGGCTCCGCTGGGCTCCGGAGAGCGGCCGCATCGGTGGCGATCCCCAAAGTAGAAGGTCAGCAGACGTTTGCACAGGCAAGTGGTTGGCAGGGTGACAGGTTGAATCTGATGTCTGATGTATGTCATGTTGAAGGAAGCTGGAATCAGACGGCCTTTTCTGTTCTTGGTGGCATTCCAGGAAGGTCCTTTGATGCATCTCCCTGGGTCCCTTCAGAGCGGCTTTGATGGCGGGCTCCCTTTCGGGCCGTCGATGAGGTTCGTTCAATCCCTTCAAGTTGTCAACGCCCAATGGTCTCTTGGGCCGATCGAGGAGTGATGGAGAGCAAACGGAGAGCAAACGGTTTCAGACTTAGTGGATTCGGGTGTAAGACTTCTGTGCCTCAGCAAGAATGGTGGGATGTTCCTCATGAAAACTCAAAGACGAGGATCCGTGTGGTCAGAATGGATGGTCTGTTCTGAAAGATGGAGGTGACATGATTTCCTCTCCGAGTCATTAAGACATATTAAGACCATGAAACACCACTTGTTTCTACTACCCACCCATCTACTCCAAGTCGATCTGAACTAGTTTGAACTCAGCAATTAGGGTCTTGGACTCAGTTCTCAGCTATCGAACCTGTGGAGTGGGGCGCACAATTGGAAAGCAGTTTCCGTGAGACCGAAAAACAAGATGGGTTCGATCGACTATGTCCAATGAAAACAACCAAAGGTAGTCCAGGACTAGCTTCAATCGATCATTTCACATGAGAGAGCATGACCCCACTCACAAATTCAGATTTGCATGTTTGTTTTGCCAGAAGGATGCTCTATCCACCGTAAACGATGAGGAAGAACATCAAACGGTAGCCCTGTACAGTATACAACCCTTCATACGCTTCATATTTGTTTCATACCAGGTCTCTCTCCCACACAAAGACAATGAGGCGTGTTGTGTTGCAAAATCTTTGTTTGAGCATAGAAATCGATGTTTGTACAGGCACGAAAACGACAACATAACGATAACAAACAGGATAACACAGTGAGCCATCGTTCAAACTTGATTTTGAAGAGCCAAATCCTCCATGTCTATGTTGAGAAAAAGCGCCCATGCACTGCCCAGCAAAAGCGCTGTATATGCGCTGCCGTGCCCAAGCACACAACACATATACACAACAAAGAGGTCCAAACACACCAATGGCAACGGCTACAACAAAACGGAATCGGACCACTCTATGAAACCTCTCGTCAACAAAACGGTGGGGACTGGTGCCTGCACTGGTGCCTGTACTGGTGCCTGTCTTCAATCGAAATCTGAGGCATCTCGATGCAATTCATCCTCGAAGAGTGTGACAAGATCTTGAAACTTTGGTTCGACCCCAGCGCCTCGGTGTTGAGAAAGACGGCGGGAGAAATGGGGCGCCCCGGTTTTTCGTTCGTGTTGGAGCAGGGTGACCCTGCGGGTAGTTGGAGGAGATGTGGCAAAGGTTGATGCAACAAGTAGAATCAGCCTACGAATGCCCAAGAAACTGAACTAGGTTCAGCTACGCTGGTGAATCAATGGTGGTTGAAAAGGGGTCAATGAATGTATAGGCTATTTATTCCATACAGCCCATACAGTAATACATGGAGTGTAGGACGTAGCCTCGAAAATAGGACATGACCCGAACTTAAAAACAGGTACAACTGGGGGGGCCCATTTTTAGGAGTACGAATACATAGATTGGTCTCAAAGTCTCCCCAGATGCTCCGTTCACAGCCCGACCGGTCTCATCCCGGTTTTGAGGGAATGGTTCGACCCCAAACCCCTCCACGCTCAGAAGCCCACCGCAAGAAGCCACCGCTAAACCCTGCCGACGCTGCCGGTGTTTTCACACCGGCGGATCCTGGTCTTACGAACGAGACGGAAGCTATCGATGTGTTCGGACGCATCGCATCGAGTGCGGAGCGAGCGAAGGGAGCGAAAAAGGACGGGACAGGACGTGTTCAGATCTTCAAATAACCGGAGGGTGCAAGAATCATCGCATCGCGCATCGCTCTGAGGAAATGATGTGGACGCCTTGTTTCACCAGTTTGGTCTCTTGTCTTCACTTTTTCGAAGTGCATGTGGAGTGCATGTTTGTATTTTCAGATCACAGGTTCCACAAAAATACGGATACAGTGGCTTCAGATATAGATGGCAAATCACCAGTTGGATTGAATATGATTGCATGATCCTTCAGCTTCTTTCAAGGCCATTTGACTCAGGTCAACCTCGTAGTTGAAGCCTTAGGGTTTTATTTGTTGACGCCCTGTAATGCCAACTGTTGATCAACCCACCATAACCCCATATCTGTAAAACCATTCCTGGAGACTGCGAGGCGATTCGTGACTATTCATTAACATGACTCATGACATCTCATGACCGTTCTCTGTGGCTCTTGGTGTTGTGTGGCTTCTTGTTTATAGATGGCGTCCATGGAGGCAACTCAGAAGCAACCCAATAGGATCACTTGAGAGGTTCCAGAACTGGAAAATTGCTTTTGGAACAGACATGACGAAGGGTCCAGGTAGAAAGAGATGGCCCATGGCACACAAGAACTTTGTATTTGCCATGTTTTTGTGTCAGACGATGGCAGGACACAAAGACTTGTATATGGCCTTCAACAACAGACTTAACTTCCGTCTTTTTTTCCCACAGAAGGGGAACGAACACAACTTTGTTTACTGCGAATCAAGCTGTTTACTGCGATCGTCCCCCCCAACGGTTGCCTTCGAACATGTACACACCTGGATTGGACAGAGGTGGACAAACAATATAAAAAGTTCGTGGCTGAAACCCATCCTTCGCTCCAGCTTAAGAGAGGTTTGGTGAGACCACTAGGACCTGAGAAACTGGAGAGGAATCGGAGAAACCCGAACTAGTCGTACATATAGTTATGAGATAATTAGACGAACGGCTGTGAAAAGACTCTCGAAAGATTCGGTGATGTCCGACACCACTGAGCCGCGGGCCCCAACGAACCACGCCCAACGAAGACGCCCGCGGGCCGAAACAAGCTACAACCCGCGCCCAACGAACGCCTCAAACCAACACCACGAGACGCCGTGTGGATCGCGGCCGTCGTTGAGACGAGACGTGCGGCTGACTTCAGGCGTCCAGTCCAACAACATCTACGACTTGCAACTGGCCGACGTGGCGATCCGGCGATCCATCAACGGAGATGCTTGTTCGGTACCGGCCTCGACCGGCCCCGGGAACCCACCTGCTGACCGGTTCGGTCCACTCTTGGCAGACAGGTTGGGTCCGAGCCTGGCGGACAGGTGGTGTAATTGGATGGTTTTTGGAAGGACAGGAAGAACCACACGAGAGGAGGCTTCTTCAAGGGGCGGTGGATGTCGCCCTTTGGGACGGTGATGTCCTCAGATCGCAGATCGCTGGGCCTCGCAGTGTCACGATGGAATATAACTAGGCAGCGAAGGTTCGGTCAAGTCAAGTGGTGGGATCCCCGTTCTTTTTGCAAGTAAAGTGCGTAAAACTAATGGCTGTTCATTCTGAAGGTCTAGTTAAAATCGGTGCTTCGTTTCGCTCGTCCCTCGGATGAAACAGGTGACATCCTTCTCCGCACGCTCCGAACGATCGAACGAACGAACGTCTCACCCGTCGGTCAGCCCGTCGGTCGGCGGAACGGCGGAAAGAGAGTTCCGGGTCTCTCAACGAGTCGAAACGAGTCGATGCGTCGAAGAAAGAAGGGATGCATGGTGTGCTTTCTCCTGACGAAAGAGCAACAGATATTGATAGTTGCTTTCATGAAGCTATATATCCCAGACGCTCCATGGGACTGCCATATATGCCTACATTGGCCCCCCCAACCACCCCAACTGATCGGCATATATGGCAGTCCCATGGAGCGTTTGGGTATTAATTAGGCCATTCTGTCCCGTGACCTGGCACACAAAGCTCGCCAACTCAAAGCTTTTTGGTGCCTTCGATTTCAGGAAGTGGCTGAGCGAGTCCTCAGTTTGCAAACCTGCTTGCTCAAGTGCGAAGGCCTAGACGAGACACAGCGCCTCGTAGCAGAAGAGCCGGCACTGCCGGCTCCCCAAGGGCGCGGTGAACACCGGGCGCGCGTGCACGGTCTCATGGGTGAAGAGACTTTGCGACGGCGTGGCCGTGGCCAGTGTGTTTCCTGTTGGGAGAGTAGAAGGTGAGAGTGGGAGAAATCTCTCCAGAGATGTGGCGACAGCGACATGAGGCTTTTGAAGGTGAAAGTTGATATTATTCCAGTCGATCCTTTATCATCACATCCGTAATCATCCTGACTTTAAAGTGATCTCCAGGTTTGAGGTCACTTAGGCCTGCAACAGATTGCTTACAGGTCATTTAAGGGACCGGTCGGACTGGTTCTTCTCATCGGTTTTTTAACACATGGCTGACAGGTGTCCAGGCACATGGATGGCACATGAAGATTTGTTATGTGGCACGTCCTTTAGAGATCCCCCTCCAGAATCATCCTATGAATCAGGTGGGGTTGACGTCTCCATAATATAGGATGCACCGGCCCTGTTTGACCAGAGGGGGCACATTCTAAGGTGAGGAAATCACCCGTCATTCGGAGGAACGATTGTGATGGTTCACCTTCCCAGCCAAGTCCTAACTTCTTATGATCTTGTCAGCACATGTCAGCGGTTGCACCTCGCGGCATTTTCCGCTCAGTTGGGTGCGGCCACTACTACTACTACTATTACTACTACTACTACTACTACT